GAAATAGAGAAAAGTAATAGAAAAGTGAAAAAGAAATAAAGAAAAAGAGATAGAAAAGAAGAAGGAAAAAAGAAAGAATAATGAAGTGGATTCCGATCTTCTTCACAGCAGTTATAAGTACATTTATATTTTACCTTCTCTCTCTAAGTTTCCTTAGAAACTAACGTTTCCTTCTTTCCACAATCTACCCTTTCTAATCATCAACTCCATAAATTATCCCTTTTCCAGAGTATCCTTTAACCTGGAGAGGACACATGAGGTGACTGCAGAAAAAAAGAAAATCTCCCTCTTCCACTGACATAAGAAACTCCATTGGTAGAAACTGTAATAGTACAATTTTTAAAAAATTTAAAAAGTGCCCAGGGCATATTTGGGATTTAAGGGTACAGTTTGGGTATTTTTACCAGAAGTTGCCGAGGTAGGTATGGACAATGGCAAAGAACCTTTGAATCAGGAAGCACCCCAGGAAAGTAGTTTCCTCTACAGCCTCCTAGGAGGATTTCTATCACCCCAACTTCTAAACAAAGCAACCCGGGCTGCTGTGACTCACCATGTTATTTTCTGAGACTGCTCTTCAGGCCAGAAGCTTTCCTGAAAATAATTAGTTCTACCACACTGGAAAAATATCTCACCTCCACTAACGGTCTGATACATGCCGTTATCTGCAATCCTAAGTTATTGCACTGAGAAGTCTTTAAAAGCTCAGTTTGCTCTTCTCCCTCTTCCCCGCTAACTCCCCCCAATTAAAAAAACAACAACACTATTTTTTACTTTCTCCTTCCCATCAGGAATGGAAAGGACTCAGGACCCTGTGACTCCATCCAATGTCTGTAGGGTTTGCTTGCTCAATCCAACTGCCCAGTGCTGAGATGGGCAAAACCACTCATGTGGGCATGAGACTTGCACAAATCTCAGGATCTTCTACACATCTGAATACTGGGCACTGACTGGGGAAAGTATTTCTAAGCGTTTTCTCCAGAATTTAAGAGATAAAGAGAATGGTTGATCTGTCGAACCCAAAAGCACTGGAAGTTCGGGGGGGGGGGGTTGGGTTTAAACCAAGGAACCAAACTTCCTTCCTTCCTTCCTTCCGTCCTTCCTGCCTTCGTTCCTTCCTTCTCTCCCGCCTTTCTCCTTCCTTCCTTCCTTCCTTCCGTCCTTCCTGCCTTCGTTCCTTCCTTCTCTCCCGCCTTTCTCCTTCCTTCCTTCCTTCCTTCCGTCCTTCCTGCCTTCGTTCCTTCCTTCTCTCCCGCCTTTCTCCTTCCTTCCTTCCTTCCTTCCGTCCTTCCTGCCTTCGTTCCTTCCTTCTCTCCCGCCTTTCTCCTTCCTTCCTTCCTTCCTTCCTTCCTTCCTTCCTTCCTTCCTTCCTTCTCTCCCTCCTTTCTCCTTCCTTCCTTCCTTCCTTCCTTCCTTCCTTCCTTCCTTCCTTTCCTTCTTTCCTTTCCTTCCTTCCTTCCTCCCTCCCTCCCTTCTTTCTTCCTTCCTTCCTTCCTCCCTCCCTCCCTTCTTTCTTCCTTCCTTCCTTCCTCCCTCCCTCCCTTCTTTCTTCCTTCCTTCCTTCCTCCCTCCCTCCCTTCTTTCTTCCTTCCTTCCTTCCTCCCTCCCTCCCTTCTTTCTTCCTTCCTTCCTTCCTCCCTCCCTCCCTTCTTTCTTCCTTCCTTCCTTCCGTCCTTCCTGCCTTCGTTCCTTCCTTCTCTCCCTCCTTCCTCCTTCCTTCCTTCCTTCCTTCCTTCCTTCCTTCCTTCCTTCCTTTGGGATAATGCATGGATTGCAACCCTAGATGCAACATCAGCTAGGAAGTGATGGAGTTAATTGCAGTTATGCTGAAAGCTTAGGTTTGCAGTATGCCAGCTTCCTATTTGTTTGATTACTTATTTATAGAATAATTTAAAAACAAAATAAAATCAGAAAGAGCACCAAGGAAAGTGTCTGCCAGAGCAATGTGGGGATGCAAGCATACAATCTATTGTTTTCACCAATTTGCCCAGTTTCCACCAATTTAAGCATGAATGCTAAACAAACAAGCAAACAAACAGCCTTTATTTCAATCACAGACCAGCATTAGGTGGCATAGGGCTCTAAAAATTATACCTGGTAGCTATAGCAATCAAGACCATAAAGTATAAAAGTTAATCAAATAAACAGCTTTACTGTCACAAATGTCTAATATTATTAAATATTAAATTGAAGAGTACATAAAAAATGAAAATACAACATAAAATATTGCCAGGATTAATAGAAAGGTAAAATAATAGTTTGAAAAACTACCATTGATCAAAAAAGAACTATAAGATAACAAAGAGGTAACAATGAAATTAAAAGCCTAGGTAACTTAAGAACATCCAGGTGTGAAAATATAAGTACAGGGAGTGTCTCCTCCTAATCTATTATACTACTGGCTCTTAGTAACTCTTAGCAACCTTGACATGTTTTGTAAGCTGCAGTGCAGAATACAGCAATGTTATATATTACGGAAGGATCATAGCCTGAGAGTAATAAGCAGACATGTATGACTGGCAAGCTTGCAAGAAGTGAGGAAAGAAGACCGTTTTGAATCTGTCAAACAAGGGCACCCTGCAGGAGAAATGTGAATGCTGGCAGAAGTTTCCTTTGAATTTTGGGCACTTCTTCAAGGGCTCTGCCCAGGTGGGATCCAGAACTATGAATCCAGGCTGTGCTGCTGCACAAATCAATGGCTTGTCCTGTTTCCCTTCGGTGGTTGGGCTTAGCCACTGAACGGGACTGCTTCTGTTTAGGGCCTCAAGGTCTCAACGTGAGCTCTGCTCCCTTGTGCTGAGGGGGGAGTATTTGCATTAGGACTCCAAACTTGCAGGCCTAGTTTATTTGTGTGTTTAATCAAGGCCTTACCTGTTTCCACTCCCAAAGCAACTCTAGTTGTCAGACAAAGAAAATAAGGAATAAAAAGAGAGACATTGGTGACCACCCCCATAAACAAGCAATCACTGTGTGGGGTTGCAAATCCCTCTTTATGGCTTTAGGGCCAGTTCTATGGCCCATACAGACTTCTCGGGGGATGCTGTTCCACAGAGCAGGGGCAGCCGCAGGAAGGCACATTTCTGGAATCCTGTGAGATGGTCGTATTTCACAGACGGGATCCAGAGCATGCTAACTCTGCTAGACCTTATCTGGCAGATAGAAGCCCTCGGAGAAAGGTGGTTCCATTGATATCCAGCCCCTAGCCGTGCAGGGCTTTAGCGATGACTACCAGTACCTTGAATTGACCTGGAAACCAAGCACTTACTAGTGCAGCTCTTGGTGAACCAGAGTGTCACTTGCATGAACCATGGCATGCTCAGAATGACGCACAGTGCTGCATGATTGCCCAGCTGTAGCATGTGAGTGTTTTCAAAGGCAACCCCACGTAAAGCACATTGCAACAATCAAATCAGAAATGACTAAGCCACCAGTGGCTGTGAGAAAGGCCTCCTGATCCAGGAAAAGGCGTCACTGGAGACCAGCGCATGGGTGCAAAGGTCTTCCTGGTCAGGAATGCCCCTTGGTCTTGGAGCGAGAGCTGATAGTGCAGTTCTAGTCATGATCAAGGGAGCATGAATGAAAGCTGCCTTGCTTGGAGTGGGTTGGTTAGGGATTGGGAAGAAGGGATCAGTATAAACATGTCTGTCCTATGCCTCTTATACATGCTCCTGTATCTTGTTTGGAGCTAATACTTGAATTAGGCTTGGAGTAAGCCAAAAAAAGTATAAAGCTATACATTACCATTCACTGCCTTAGAACAGGGTGGGCAACTTGTGGGCCTCCAGATGTAATGAAAAACGTCATCCAGTA